CAATAACTGGATCCAGATTTCAATCTGATTCAAACTCTGTATTTAAGGTTTTTTTATTTGGAGCTTTGAAGAGGGAAATCCAATCCCGTTGAAAAGTCTACCATTAACGGAGCTTTTCGATCTTCAAATTCCCTGTTTGGTTGTTCTTCAGATTTAGGGTTCTTCATTTGATTTGTTTGTTTGATCGGAGAAAGAAGAGGTTTCAGTTCCGTTCTTGTTGAAGTAAGTTTTTCTTTTCTCCTCGATTGTTTTCTTCCTGGATTTCGCCAATCTCAATGTTGTTTTGAACCTCGATCTGATTGTTGCATAAACTGTTGACGTTTATGCATCGAAATGGATAGTAAAACTAGATATGTTGAATTGCAATCCCAGATTGATATCCAAAACCTCAGATCGGCTGCCCCTAAACATTCCGATGAGGAAGGTTTAATAGGATCCAAAAGATTGAATGGAAATGCGGATGGTAAGGATGATCTCTTCGATGATTTGGATTTTGATGTCGATAGCCATCCGCTTATCACTGGGGAATCTCGAGGGGGGTCGGGGGTTTCTGGAGCTGTTTTTAACCTCACGACATCGATTATTGGCGCTGGGATTATGGCTCTACCGGCCACCATGAAAGTTCTTGGAGTGGTTTTGGGGTTCGTTCTGATAGTTTTGATCGGTATTTTATCTGAGTTTAGCGTTGAATTGTTAGTGAGATTTTTGGTTATTTCTAAAGCTTCTTCATATGGGGAGGTTGTTCATTGTGCATATGGGAAATCCATGAAGATCCTGACTGAAATCTGTATAATTGTGAACAATGCTGGTGTTTTGATTGTTTATTTGATTATTATTGGCGATGTTATGTCTGGTTCTGTTCATCATTCTGGGGTTTTTGATCAGTGGTTGGGGCATGGATTTTGGGATCATAGAAAGCTTTTGATTTTGGTTGTGTTGGTGGTTTTTCTAGCTCCTCTCTGTGCTCTCAACAAGATTGATTCCTTGAGTTTGACGTCTGCTGCTTCAGTAGCTCTTGCAGTTGTCTTTGTTGTAGTTGCTTGTGCCATAGCATTGATTAAGCTTGCACAAGGAACGATTGAGCCTCCGAGAATGAGTCCTGATTTCGGATCGAAGAAGGCGATCTTAGACCTTCTTGTGGTGGTTCCGATAATGACGAATGCTTATGTCTGTCATTTCAATGTCCCGTCTATCTATAACGAGCTCGAAACGAGGTCTCCCCAGAAGATGAATACAGTGGGGAGGATTACAACTGTGATATGCATTTTAGTTTATGCTTTGACTGCTATTTCTGGTTATCTACTTTTTGGAAACGATACCGAGTCCGATGTGCTGACGAACTTTGACAAGAACCTAGGAATTCGATTCAGCTTCGCGTTGAATTACATTGTTCGAATTGGTTATATTCTTCATTTAGTTCTTGTGTTTCCAGTTATCCATTTCTCCTTACGACAAACTGTCGACGAGTTGATATTCGAGGGATCTGCACCACTTTCAGAGAGCAAGAAGAGATCTCTGGCCTTGACAGTTGTGTTGCTGGCACTGATCTATTTTGGTTCAACCATGATTCCCAACATTTGGATGGCCTTTAAGTTTACAGGGGCAACATCAGCGGTGTCGCTGGGGTTCATATTGCCATCGGTTGTTGCGTTAAAGCTAAGCAAGACGAGCGGGCCGGGGAGCTTGAACGCTACAGAAAAGTTCCTATCATGGTTGATGTTAGGGCTTGCTGTCATTGTTGGTATTGTTGGATTGATTGGAAATATCTACAGCTTAAGCAATCCGTCCCAGTAACCATTCTTTCAAGTATTTCGAAAGTATATTCTTACATAAGACTCGTCGATTCATGTTAGCTGATTTATATGGCGTCGATTCGAGAACGCATACGCTAATGGCATTGCTCGTGAATTAGGCGACCGCTATCGAAAGAGTTGTGTATGCTAACGTTTGCATGTTTCATCTTACTCGAGCTGCACTGCTCAAACTTCTTGAACAAAATACCCTGTACTTAACAGTTGATATTGTTTTGCAACTGTATCAAGCTGCTGCAAATTTGCAGAAGTGAAAGACTCAGCACTTGGGAGGAGGTAAATTTTCTTTTATTCAATACAAATTTTCTGATTAAGCAATCTGAAATGCATGTAGTTTACCATCTTGAAACGGATATAACTTGAGATCCCATCTCGGTTAGAGAAGAAAATAAAACATTTTTTATAAGGGTGTGCAAACTTCTTCCTAGTAGAAGCGTTTTAAAACTATGAGGATACGTAATAAGTCAAAGGGGACAATATCTACTAGCGGTGAGCTTGGACTGTTACAAATGGTATCAAAGCCAAACATTAGTGGTGTGCCAGCGAGACGCTGGGCCTCGAAGGGGGATGAATTGTGAGATCCCATCGGTTAGAGAGGGAAACAAAGTATTTTTTTTATAAGGGTGTGAAAACCTCTCCCTAGTAGACCCTTTTTAAAATTGTAAGGTTGATGGCGATACATAATAATGGGCCAAAACGAACAATATCTGTTAGCGGTGGACTTAAGTTGTTACATCATCATAATAGGGATGTTCCACAGAGTTGAACCATCCATTTTCACATCCATTTTCACATCCATTTTCAGTTGTCTGTCGACGAACCCATCCATTTTCACATCCATTTTCAGTTGTCTGTCGACGAACCGAATGTGTCACCAACGCATAGTTAGATTGAAGCCCTGCAGTTACATAAACCATCAACAAAATGGTGGAACCTATTCCCATCTCTTATGATTATCTTTCGTTGTACGACTTGAGAGACAAATTTCATGAAGATTCTTCATGATTTGGATCGGCGATCTTGTTTGGCGTGTGCAAGTTAATCCACCTTTTGTAAGAAAATAGCCTACCCTGCACTTGATCTGAAGCCAACTGACTCCTAGTTCTTTTGCAACCCCTTGTTTTCGCTTTTGCTGGGACTCGAATTGATCTAACTTTGTAGAGTCAAAATATCCGAGAATTAAAAAAAAAATAATAATAAAAAATTAACCTAAGAAAACTCGTGCTTAAGAAGTAGAATATAGAACTTTCATTTTAATCTCCAAAATCTCCATTGTAAAGCAAACATAGAACTTTCATTTTAATCTCCAAAATCTCCATTGTAAAGCAAACGACATGATAAATCCTAGAATACCATGTGATCAATCGAAAAAGGTTGTAGTTTTCAAGTAAATCAATACCATAATAACCACTAACTAAATTGTAACTTAAAACTTTAAAAGTTCTTAGTACCATGATTAAGACACCTTATTTGGTACCATTTTTCCCACAAACTTTTGCACGAATAGACATTCGACAACAACATTCTAGGTCTAATAGTTCCCAGTCTTCCTGCGCAAGTTTCTTAGGGCCACCAATGACAAAGCATAACCCTTGATCTCAATAAGAGAAACTCTTTACATAACAGGAAACTTCACACGAAGTACATTCGATGACAACAAATCATTAAAATAAATTCATATAAATTGACAACGTTATAGTACATCATAATATTTGTATTCACCCTCTCCAAGATATTACAAGTGTTAAGATTTCTTCTAAAAAGAAAAGTTTAAGTTCTAGAACAATGAAATAAATATGAGAAGTAGAATGTTTAACTATTTTAAAAATCAATTTATATTCTTCAACTTCTAAGATTCAACCAGTTTAATAAAATTTTCCAATAGTGAAAAACACTCAGATTAATAACCTAAATGGATTCACTAAACCAATACAACCGCAAAATTTGGGAATCTAAAATGATAATTTCAAAAGAAGACGGTTTATATAAAATAGTAATTTAAATGAGATATGAGACTCCACTTTCGGTTTCAAGTATATCAAAATTTTGGCGAACTCAGAACTCGACATTAATAACGAGATTATGTACCACAAACTTCTCCTCTTCACTACTGATCAATAACAATACGTCAAAATTTACAAAATCCGTGCGCCAATTATATACCAAGAAAATTTCAGTTCAATCAAACACGGCAACAAAATACTAATTACGTTCTCTGATCTTCATCTCTAGAGACGATCCACGACAGAGAATTTAAAATCATACTAATACGTACGCGATTCACGATGAAGAAACTTCCAAGCGATGATCAGAAGCGGCATTGCAGAATCGGGAGGGTTTAGGCTGGAAGTTCCTCCTCCGAAGATCGTGACTCAAAGGCTTGATGGCCTGCATCAGAAACACTTTAAAGAGACCGGTCGCCGTGGAAGTGGCAGTGGCGGCCTTCGATTGGCTTCCACGCGACAGCGTCGTTTTGTCGGATGCCTTCCGGGGACGACGGTGGAGGCTGCAGCGGAAAGAGCCGGGATGGGAGGTCGGAGCACAGAGACAGAGGCGGGAAGAGGAAGCGGTTTGGTTCGCCATTGGAGACGGGAAGTTGTAACTGCCTATGAGAATGACTGAATTAATTTTCGGCGTTTTTATTTATAGAACTCTTTCCCCCTCGGAATTAAGCTTCGTAGGAGGGGTAAATTTGTAATTTACTTCCACTTTTTTCCCTAACTTGTCCTCGCTTCTTGCGACTGTAGCCGTAACCTGCAGGGGCTGTTTGGTCTTTTTACGTAAAAAACATTTAAAAGAAAATTTTAAAATATTATTTTTTAAAAAAGAAAAAGAGTAAAAGATGGTTGGAGATGTTCAAAGGCTCAGCAACTTTGGCATCAACTATTATGTTCGAATGTTGGCCCTTAGAGGGAGGTAAATTGTGAGATCCCACATCAGTTGAAAAGGAGAACGAAACATTCTTGTGTGTAAATCTCTTCCTAACATATGCATTTTAAAACCATGAGGCTGACGGTGATACGTAACCGACTAAAATGGACAATACCCGTTAGCGGTGGGCGTGAGCTGTTACTTAACCGAGCTGAAAATTGAAGTTCCAACATATTTCTCAAAACAAATAAAGGTATCCAATTCTCAAGCAGTTATGTCTCTTAAAACAACTACATACAAAAAGTTCTTAAATGTAAACCTGAGCCCGTTCCCTTTTATCATAACTTTAATAGAAACATGGGTCTGTTTCCTGATGTAGCAAAAGTAAAGTATTCTAAGGAGAATATGAAGAACAAAAGTAACATATTAATAGTTTACTTACTGTCCCTCGTCTTGGTGATGTTTGTCATCTTGAGGCATAGGTCGATGATTCAATAACTTGAGAGCAATACTCGGGCGCATACCAGGTTGCGCTCGTCTTTTTGCAGCCCACACCAACCATCATCAGGGAAGAAAGCTAATAAAAAGAGTTCGTCATATGACAAATTGTGGTTGCAAAAAGAGGGTAGGCTCCCAAGCTACACCTTGGTATTTTTCATAATTTGATACCTTCATGAAGAATCTTAGAGATCATCTGCAGACTGCTTCAAGAACTAGAGTGGAAACTCATCCGGACATCGTGATAGCCTGCCAAAGATATCGAAACTGAATGAAAAATGGACAAACTTCAACCCTCTAAATTTGTGAGATCCTACATTAGACGGGGTTGAAATCTCTCCCTAGTATATGCATTTTAAAACATTGAGGGGGAAGCCCAGAAGAAAAAGTCCAAAGAGAACAATTTCTACTAGTGGTTGGCTTAGGCTGTTAGAAATAGTATAAGAGCTAAACACCGGGCGATGTGCCAATGAGGAGGCTGAGCCCCGAAGGGGGTGGACACGAGGCGGTGTACAAATAAGGATGCTGGGCCCTGAAGGGGGGTGAATTGGAGGGTCCCACATCGATTGGAGAAGGGAACGAGTGCTAGTGAGGATGCTGGGCCCTGAAGGGGAGTGAATTGTGAGATCCCACCTCAAACATATTCTATATAAAGGTGTGGAAGCCTCTCCTTAGCAGACACGTTTTAAAACTTTGAAGAGAAGTCCGGAAGAGAAAGCTCTAAAAGGACAATATTTACTAGCGATAAGCTTGGGCTACTACAAAATTAGAGCTTAATTAGTAATATAATGTTCATCATGTTTACAAGATGTTTAACAACCTCTTACCATTTGCTCTAATCGCCTCTCCGCTCAAACTTCTGTATAACAGATTCGTCCAGATCGAAGTTCAACAAGTTCACCTTAACTTTTTTTTGCAACATCTGAATCTGGGTAATAGTATGTCCCAAGATCAAATATGTCTACAAGCACCAAGAAGTGCATATACTGCCTACTTGTTGCAGTTCACATTGGCATGATAGCCACCATTCACCATCTTCGTCCCCAATTCCGCTCTCAGCTTAGGCGAAAGACCTTTCGCTACCATCTCTTCGTCGTACTTCCTAGCCATATCTATCATGCCCTTCTCCACAAGAGCATCAATTAAAGAATTGTAAGCAGACTCATCTGGGCTACACCCAAGTTCCTCCATCTTATTCCACACTACAAACACTGGTCTTAGAAACCCCCATCTTCCGAACTTCCTCATGAGCATCACATAAGTATCCATCTTTGGTTGAACCCCATATTTAATCATCCTATCAAATAACATAAGAATCTCCTTCGGCTTTTCGAGAGACCGAAAAAAACAATGATACGTGATGACATTAGGCAGACAATCCTTCTTAAGCATTTGATCGAGCATCATATGGGCATCCTTGAATCTACCATTCTCACAGAATAGCTTAATAATAGTATTGCAAGTTACAACGTTAGGCTTACATCCCATTTCCTTCATCTCGTGAAACACCCGGCTGGCAAAATCAACACCTTCTGATATCCCAATGGCATGAATCACTGTATTATACGCTACTACATCTAGTTTCATTCCCTTCTTTTTCATCTCCTTGTACAATTTAACAGCCTTCCATGGCTTCCCACTCTTGCACTGTATGTCCATGTAAATGGAATACGAATGCAAATCCTTACGAACACCCTTCTTATCCATCTCTTCCCAAAACTCTCTACATTTGCTCCACCACCCCATTTTAAGCCAACCACGAAGAATTAAGTTATGAATCTTCGTACTCGCATCACAATTCAACTTCCTGTTCTTCCCAAAACACAAATCCTGAGCTTCAACAACATGTCTATACTCACAAAGGGAATCAATAAGATTACAAAACGAAGTTTCGTCTCTCAATTTAAACTCCCGCAATCTCTCATAAGCAGCAATTGCCTCACTAACTAAATGTGCCGATGCATAGCGCTTAAACATAATTCGAAACGTCGCATGATCCGGTGAAGCAAACGGGGATTGTAGCATACGTTGAATCAATTCCCAAGAAAGGTCGAATTCGAAGAACTTACCGAGAATGTCCAGCATGCGATTGTAGGTCTCGGTGGTGTGATCGAACTTACATTCTGATTCAACCCAGTTGAAAAACTCGTACGAGCGCCTCCAATCATTGCAATAAGAATCGAGTGCCTCGCGAACTGTAGGAGGGTCGAAATTAGTCTGTGTCGGACGATCCTCCGGGGTGTTGAAATTGAAACCGAACTCCGAAATGGGATTGGTTGTTTTGGTGGAAAATAATATGGCCGCCGCCGGAAGAAACACGTCGGAGAAGGAGAAAATAGACGGAGGGAAACGGCGGGAAGCGAAGGAAGAAAGCATTTCCGGACAGAGAGGCTTTGAGTTTCTGATTCTAACCAGGAGAGTAAGCATTGCGAATTCGGAGCAATGGACCTAATGGTTGGGCTGCCCGGGATTGATCGGTCAGCTGCCCAATGAAGACCAAAAATTAGGGCTTGAAAAATAATTTTTTTTAATTATTATTATTTAATTTTTTTATGTTTTTTTTCTGTAATTCAGAGATGATACAAGAGGAGCATAAATCGTTTCCCCGCGAAAACTCAATTCCGCCGTCGCACTCATCGCCGGGATGCCAACTAGTTCGGCCGCTGGACACGACGTACCGGCCACCTCCGATGAAGGGTTCCGGCCTCCAAAATCGTCATTGGTTGTAGGCGATCCCAGCGATTTTTCTTCTTCCTCCTCCTCCTCCTCTTCCATTTCTGGTGTGACACAGGCCTTTCATTTCTCCTCTGGAAACCCCAGAATCGAGGAGATCAGAGGTGTCGTTCATCTATTCCGAGATGACGTTTCCTCCTCATCCTCGACATCTGCTTCTGCTCTGCCTGTGAGCTACGATTCTTTAATCTTTATTTCTTGCGAATTCTTTAGTGTTGGAGTTTTCTAGGGCAGTATTGGGGTTTCTCTTGGCAAGATGTTAGCATAGATTTCAAATTTTGCCGAGTTCTTCTATGTATTAACAGGGTGACAAATTTAGAAATAGAATTTTCTTTTATTCAATTTTCTTTATCATGATTGTGTCGAAGGGATTTTATGGAGTTTTAACGTATCAAAATTGCCGATATATTCGCTAAGCAAGTTTTATTTGAGAAAGTAACATCATTCTTGGTTGTTATTTCTTAGCAACGCAGATAGGGCCTCTGATTCTGAAACTTAAATTAAACTGCTCACTGGATAAACAATAATGATTCATAGTTGGGATTTTTTGTATGCAATTTCATTTTCTATTATGAACAAATAGTTTGTTTTGCGTAGGTCGAGAGGAAGCCTCTTGTTTGTGTACTTGGAGTGCCAAATCATATGACTTATGCAGACTTTTGCCAGTTTTGTGGTTCTTTCATTCATGAAATTTTGGAGATGCGAGTTGTCAGGTTTAATTGCTCTTCTATTAATCCTGTTTTTAGTCATTAGGTATTCGTCTATAAGTATTGCGAGTTTTATCTTGGTTTTGATTTATTTCTTTACTGTTGTTGTTCCTGATAGAGGCGATGGGGTGGAGGATAGGTACAGTATATTAATAAGATTTCGAAGTCAGGATTCAGCCGATAACTTCTACAAGCATTTGAATGAGAGGCGTTACTCATCGTTGGAGGTTGGGCATTAGCATTGGTTTCTAATATGTTTGTTCACTTTGAAAGGGTTGTTTAGGGACTATGGCCTTTTGGTTAATAATTTTTTTTCCCATTTTCATTGATTGCATTTGAATATAGGCAGAAGTTTGTCGCGTGTTTTTCATGGTTGATGTTCAGTACACAGCCTCAATTGAGCATGCACATGCATCCCCCGCAAGTTCAACCGAGCAGCCAACATGTCCAGTCTGCCTGGGTTAGTAAAATGGAAATGCTTTAAATCTTGCGTTTCTTAAAACAATTTTTAGGCATATCGTCAATGGAACTTTTCTATGCAGTGTCTACATTCTATCATTACAGTATAAACCTTTTAGATCATGCAAATGACTCACATGCTCTCTACTCCATTATCCACTATTAACTAACGTTCTCAAGGCTTGTTTGGTACTGGTGCCTTGTTAATTTGATTCTTTTTAGCATGTTTCACCTTTTAACTTCTGACAATGCAGATAGATTAGACCAAGAGACTAGTGGAATTCTTACTACTATCTGCAATCATTCCTTCCATTGTTCGTGCATATCAAAATGGACTGATTCCTCTTGTCCAGTATGTGATTTCTTCAGCTTTTAACTGATGGTCTTATTTGAACACTTTTCCTTTGGTTTTGCCTAAGATATCACTGTTTAATAAACTTGGTTTGATAATTTCTAGGTGTGCCGATATTGTCAGCAGCAGCCTGAGCAATCAGTGTGTTTTATTTGTCAGACTTCTGAAAACTTGTGGATTTGTGTTATCTGTGGCTTTGTTGGCTGTGGCAAGTAATGTTTTATGCTTTGATTTCTTTCATTCTCAGTTATTTTGTTACTGGAAGATTATTAAGGGTATTTTTACCCCTTTTATGTTGAGTATTGGCTGGAATACTAAAACATTGATTAATCGGGTTCAGGTATAAAGAAGGGCATGCTATAGTACATTGGAAAGAAACACAACACTGTTATTCTCTTGAGTTAGAAACTCAACGCGTATGGGATTATGCAGGAGATAATTATGTCCATCGTTTGATCCAATCCAAAACGGATGGGAAATTGGTTGAGTTGAATTCATATTGTGCTCATGCTAATGACGGGTGCATGAGTTGTGGTGGTGTAGATGCTGCAACTAGTGAGGCTCTTTTGAACAGTAGAGTTGAACTTGTAATATCTTTTAACCCTTGTACCTAGTTACCGCACCAGGTTATCCTCTGAACAATATGTGCTAACAAATTGTGATGATACCCAATAGATTGTCAATGAATACAATGAACTGCTTACCGGTCAACTCGAAAACCAAAAACTAGTATGTCTTCTATTCCTTCTTCAACTTCTTATCACCCATGAGTGTATGCATTTCTATTAAGAATACAAACTTAAGACTAAAGTTTCTTGTGGCATGTGAGTAGTCTGGCTGTTCGTTGATACTTCAGTTCTAACATTTTGCTGCATTTTTAGATTTTTCACCGGTATATTTGTCACAATTGTAGTATTTTGAGTCGCTGCTACTAGAAGTCAAAGAAGAAACTGAAAGAGAAATATCTAGAGCTATTGAGAAGACCATCAATCAAAAACTGCAGAAGATGCAAGCTAAGCTGGATAAGTGCATCAAGGAGAAAAAATTTATAGATGATGTTAGTGACCGCTTCTGCTAGATTGAAGCTACTTTCTTTGTATTGGACGATATGATAATGGAGACATTATCTACATAAATACAATAATGTGAGTTTTGATGATGGTTTATTGTTTCTTTGTCTGCAGTTGAATGAGAATCTCTTGAAAAATCAGGAGATATGGAAAACAAAGATCCTTGAAATGGAAGAAAGGTAAATTTCTATCCTATTGCCACACTGCATCTTTTAAGGATTAATTCCTAGTTGAACATCTTATTATTGAAACTGTGCTGAGCTGCTGCCTGGTTCAGATGCATTTGTTTCTGTTTTGCTTAAGGCTTAGCTTAGTTGATCTGCTAGGTTGTGAGCTTGTGAGCAAATTAAATAAACATTGCAAGTTTCAGCCCCAACATCTACATGCGAACAGTTTCAGGAGATTAACATAATTCATATTTCACTACTATATCCCAAAACTTAATAGCTGAATACAAACAGGGCAGCAGATATTTCTGTGAAATGGTCGTTTTCATTTTCTTTTCAAGTAGTTGAGATATCTTATTTGCACTCAGGGAAAAAAAGACTTCAGAAGCGAAGGACAACAAAATACAGGCTTTAGAAGGGCAGGTAATGCATGTTCTTTACCTCTCAATTTCTCTCTCTTTTCTTTTGACCCACATCAGTCAGGGAGGAGAACAAAGCATTCTTTATAAGGGTGTGAAAACCTTTCCCTAGCAGACGCATTTTAAAAATCTTGAGAGGAAACTCGAAAGGAAAAGCCTAAAGAGGACAATATCTGCTAGCGGTGGGCTTGGGCCTTTACATGAAATCTGGTCTCAACAGTTTGATTTGGTATGGTATTGAATTAATAGCTTTTCTTATGTTACTTTCAGCTTGGAGAACTAATGGCATACCTAGAAACTGGTCAGCAGATGGAGGAGCTATCAGTATCAAGTGAGTCCAGAGATGCCAGCATTCTGCCAATATCAGCAGAGACATCTTCTAAGAACAGTGGCAAAGGAAGCTCCAAGTCCAACATCAAGAAAAGAAGCTAAGTTTGATCATCGACGTCGCCACGGTCTGTCTATTCCAACTTTATTTTTCGCCTGTCTATTCCAACTCTATTTTTTGCCGTATCTTACACATACGAACATGAATTTGACTGTCTTCAGTAAGCAATTAAGGCATTGTAAATGAAGAAAGAAATACTTTTGCACCAATAAAGAGCCTTATTACTTGTTTGTGCTGAGTACTATAGAAGGCTTGATTGAATGTTTCAAAAGCTAGTCCTCGTCTCTTGAGCTCTTAGCTAGATAATCACCCTTCTTTCAAATTGATATTAAATTGATGGAAATAGGACGAGGAGTGATACGAAATAAGGTGCTTAATCATGCCACAAGATTATACCATACATGTTTAGATTTAAAGAAGTTGCATTGTATTTTTTAATTTTTTAGAGTATTATTTTTAAGGTCTTAAGTTACAATTAGTTATTGTCATTACAGTATTGATGGGCATGAGAGTTACAACATTCTAATTGATCATATGTTACTTTAAGGTTTATTTTAAAGGCTATAAACTGTCGTTCATGTTGCTTTAGTATGAAAATTTTGGATATTAAAATGAAACTGGTATATTATGCCTCTTATGATATGGCCCGTTGCTTTGCATTTTTTATGTTTAGATTTGCATGATAGAGTCATTTAAGTAGTCTTGATCAAACTATCTTGTGGAGTTATCCGAACCATGAGTTTGAAATGAATTTTCTTTCCTCTTGATTGTTTAGGTAATCTGTTACACAACTTTCCTTGCGTTGATTTCTTATCGTCTTTTGGGGTTCTTGGATAATTTAGATCCAAAGATCGCCCACGAGTTTCAAAAGTGGTCATATTACTATCATCTCGTTTCGATTTGGCTAACATGGGTGCGATGGACTTGATGTAACAAATAAAAATCGTCTTATATATCCATTATGATATTTTTCTTTTAAGAAAAGAGTAAATTTGAGAGATGAATTGTGTTCTCACTAGTTTGAGTGGGCTTTTCTTTTTCTTTTTCTTTTTCTGGTTTTTAGCCTTCTTGTTAATTGGCTTGTAGTAGCTTTGAATGGTCGTCTGACGTGGAGTTGATGCTGACGTTGATGCTCACTATAAACTCCACGTCATCTTTTGCATGATGTGTCATTTTTCCTCTTCCAGCATCATGGTCCCACACTCCCAATCCAACACCACCTTTTTATTTTGGCTGGACACGTCAATCGCAGCACCTAAAAGTTTCCATTTGTTGACGAAAGTACCCCTCTAGATTAAAATATTATATTCCTTTTGTGTCGCACATCTTTCTTACTCTATTTTATTTGTCAAATTAAGCTGTTTCCTTTTATAAAGATATTAAAGTAAATCTTATTTTGATTTTTCAAAAAAAGAAAAAAAAAATCGTTATTCTATTTTCCTGCTGTGGTTGGTAAAGTTTTTTAAGACAGTTTTTTTTAACATTACAAATCATATATATAATACATTTCTTTTCGGTATTCATATAATCTGATAAAACCAATTGGGACTACCTAATCCAAATTATAAAGGTTGAGTTTAGTAAAAAAGATTCGAGTACTATCTAACCCAAACTATAAAAGTCGGTAAAAAAAATTAGGGTACTACCTACCTAACCCAAACTATAAAGGTTGGTAAAAAAGATTTGGGTACTACCTACCTAACCCAAACTATAAAGGTTGGTAAAACAGATTCAGGTACTACGTAACCTAAACTATAAAGGTTGGTAAAAAAGATTCGGTACTACCTAACCCAAACCATAAACGTTGGTAAAAAAGATTTGGATACTACGTAACCTAAACTATAAAGGTTGGTAAAAAAGATTCGAGTACTACGTAACCCAAAGTATGAAGGTTGGTAAAAAAGATTCGGGTACTACCTAACCCAAAGTATAAAGGTTGGTAAAAAAGATTCTCGTACTGCTTAACCCAAACTATAAAGTTGGTAAGAAAGATTCTGGTACGGCTTAACCCAAACTATAAAAGTCGGTTTGAATTACAGAGTCAGAAGTTTACCTATATAGTTATAATTCAATCTTTTTCAGTGCTGATTCGTAAATATTTGATATTTAAATTTTATAAAAACAAATATTGTGGACAAATAGAATAGTTTAAAAAAATATGAACAACCATAGCAGTACAATTTTTTTTTTCAAATGCCCCTTCATTTTTTTCCCACAAAAATCTGAAATTTCAATGCTGGCCAGCTCTCTCGCTCTCTCTTTCTAAGCTCTTCACACCAAATTCAATTTGATTTCTTCAGTCGCCATTCTATTTGCAGCCACGAATCCGTTCCATTTCGCCCTTTGAATTATTCTCTTAATTTTCCGATTCCATTCCAAAAGCACCAAATCACTCCTTTTTCACCCTAAATTCCTTCGTTTTAAGCACTTCTGGTCCCAGAATCTTTCTCCGTCATAAACCCAATGGCTTCACTCTCATTTTTCATCGGTTGTTCCTCTCCTTCCGGCGTGTTTCGAGCTCCTATCAATGGTGGAAGAGTTCGCGCCTGTCTTAGTGTAGATGTACAGGGACCCAATTCGACGAAGCTTCAAACAGGCAAACTTGGTTTCTCGAGCGAGGAGGTGATCGAGTCGGAACGGAAGCTTTTCGTCGGAACCTATGCTCGAGCACCGGTGGTTTTCTCGAGCGGTAAAGGATGTAAACTATATGATCTCGAAGGGCGAGAGTATTTGGATATGGCGGCTGGAATCGCCGTCAATGCCCTAGGTCATGGTGATTCCGATTGGCTGCAAGCGGTAACGGAGCAGGCAAATACAGTCACTCATGTTAGCAACCTCTTCCATTCAATCCCTCAGGTAAAAATAAACCCTAAAATTATCATACCTGTAAATATTGAAAGTGGAATAGCTTCTTAGTTCATTCCCCTGTTTCATTGCTGTAGGTGGAACTTGCAAAACGCCTTGTGGCTAAATCATTTGCGGATCGTGTGTTTTTCACTAACTCTGGCACGGAAGCTAATGAAGCTGCCATTAAATTTGCTAGAAAGTTTCAGAGATTTTCTCATCCTGATGCTAAAGAGTCACCCGCTTTTGAGTTCATTGCGTTTTCCAATTGTTTTCATGGCAGGACAATGGGAGCTCTTGCTTTAACGAGTAAGGAGCATTACAGGGCTCCTTTTGAGCCTGTTATGCCTGGTGTTACTTTCTTGCCATATGGTGATATTGAGGCTGCTAAGAACTTGATTCTTAAAGGGAAAATTGCTGCTGTTTTTGTGGAACCTATACAGGGTGAAGGTGGCATTTTCAGTGCTACTAAGGAGTTCTTGCTTTCCTTGAGAAATGCTTGTGATGAGGCTGGAACTCTTCTTGTTTTCGATGAGGTACAAACGATTCTCCCCTTGTCGATTAATAAAGCAATATAGATTCGTCGATTACTCTTTTGTTTATATAACAACGATTGTCCAAATCGACTTGCATATACCTTGTAACGGCCAATGCCAACCGCTAGCAAATATTGTCTTCTTTAGGATTTTCCTTTTGAGCTTCCCCTCAAGATTTTAAAACGCATATGCTAGGGAGAGATTTCCACACATTTATAAAGAATATTTCGTTCTCCTCCCCAAATGATGTGGGATCTCACAATCCACCTCCTTCAGAGCCCAGCGTGTTCCCTTTTCCGATATGGGACCTCTCAATCCACCCCCCTTTGGGCCAGCGTCCTTGCTGACACACTGCTTCGTGTCCACCTTCCTTCGGGGCAGCCTCTTCGCTCCTGGCTGGCACATTGCTCCGTGTCTGGCTTTGATATCATTTGTAATGGTGCAAGTCCACCAAGAGCATACATTGTTCTCTTTGAGCTTTTCCTGAAGGTTTTAAAATGCGTCTACTAGAGAAAGGTTTCTATACCCTTGTAAAGAATGTTTTGTTCTCCTCTCCAACTCATGTGAGATCTCACATACCTTGACAATCTTACTGAACAATTGTTTGATTCAACTAGCTGTAGTGTTGCATCATCGAGTTACTTTAATTGTGAATGAACTGACGCCTGATGAGCTCTACTTGATCAATTGGGAGAAAACTAAGAAGCAACTTTTTTACGTGTAGATTCAATGTGGGTTGGGTAGAAGTGGTCATCTCTGGGCACATGAAGCTTATGGTGTATATCCAGATATAATGACCCTTGCCAAGCCTCTAGCTGGAGGTCTTCCCGTCGGAGCTGTACTAGTGACCGAAAGAATCGCTGCTGCAATAAACTACGGTGACCACGGAAGTACTTTTGCAGGCTCACCGCTCGTCTGCAATGCTGCAGTTGCAGTTGTAGACAAGATCTCAGATCCTGAGTTCTTGCTTAGCGTCTCCAGGAAAGGTGAGTACATGAAAAATTTGCTAAAACAAAAGCTGGGTGAAAACCCACATGTTAAGGAAGTTAGAGGGCAAGGGCTTATTATTGGGATAGAACTGGATGTGTCTGCTAGCCCTCTAGTAGATGCTTGTCGAAACTCGGGTTTGTTAATTTTAACAGCAGGCCAGGGGAATGTGGTTCGGCTTGTGCCACCATTGATCATCACAGAGCAAGAACTAGAGCATGCTGCTAATGTTCTGCTTGACTGCATCCCTGTGCTTGGCTGATCTAAAGCTCAGCTGCTAGTTTTTCGACAAGACATTGCCATGAAGTCTTGTATGTACTGTTATAGTTTTCGAAATAAACTTGAATTTTGCTATTTGGTTGTCTGAAGTGTTGTTCTGTATGATAATCCCTTTGAAATGATTAGCTTTAGTTTTAAAGTCTACTCTGATCCTCTGTACATTCTAGGGGTACATGTTTACAAACTCGAACAATTTTGTTAATCCGAATAGAACCAACGGTTTAGTTACACCTTGACGGTATTGTCTAGAATCGAAATCAGAAACTCATCGATGAGACTTGATTACCATGATATATTTTAGCTTTGGCTTCTCATAGGATTTAAGAGAGAGAGACAAACGCATGATGGGTTTATAAGATGTTTCGTTAGGAGTAATGCAGTATGTCACGGTCATGCTTGTCCAAGGCGTGTTGCTCATGGTTGGATGCTTGGAGGGTGTTACGATTATGCTTGTCCAAGATATATTGTCCATGGTTGCATACCCAATGGGTATGTCATGGTCATACTTGTTTAGAGTATGTTGTCCATGGTCGCATGTTCAATGAGTGTGTTATGGTTATGTTTGTTTAAGGTGTGTTGTCCATGATCGCATGT